TCTTCCCCTAGCAATGAGCTTACCCCATCCCTGTTGTTCTTTTTGCTCCAAACATAGGCACAGAAACCTTTCTTGTTATTTTTAGCATCCCTCACAAGCCTCAGTTCCATCTGCACTTTAGCCTTTCTAACACCATGCCTACAGATTTGAGCCTGCTTCTTGTACTCACCCTCAGTAATTTGTCCCATTTCCTGTACATTTCCGTTTTTAGTCTCAGCTCTCCAGAGAGTTCCTTGTTTAGCCACCTCGGCTTCATTACCCGTCTCCCACCTTTCTTTCTCACTGGGACAGTTTGCGATTGTGCCTTAAGCGCGTCATTTTTCAGCATCTCCCATCCTTCCTGTGCAGATTTCCGCCTCAGCATTTCCAGCCACAGGATCCTACCTAATATTTTTGAAATCAGCTTTCCTGAAGTCCAGGATACGAGTCCTACTATGTCCTGGTTTCACATCCTTCTCTATGTCAAATTCCAAGCTGACATGGTCACTATTCCCCAAGGATCCCACAACATTCACTTCATCAACCAGTTCTTCCCTGTTAGTCAGGATTAAATCCAGGATAGCAGATCCTCTGGTTCCCACCTCCACCTTTTGAGAGATGAAGTTGTCTGCCAGACTATCCAAGAATCTGCGGGATGCCCCATGTCTAGCAGAGTTAAATTTCCAACAAATATCTGGTCAAGCATTCCTGTGTCTGCAGAGGGTCGGCCAAGGTCAGCTGCAGCATCTCAGCTTAGGGGAAGTGCTGGCTTGCCGGGCTGCCGATGAACACCTCTTGGGGCTTTCGGGGAATTCACCCCTTTGCCAAAAGTCCCGAGCAAAGCCCCCATGCTCTTGTCCTCCGGCTGACACAAGGGGATAGATGCCCCGCGGGAGAACCATCGGCTGGCTCCCTTGACGAAAGCAGGGAGGGACTTAATGGCCGCCAACTTTGGAAGGTGCTCGGGCATTTTCAGAGGAGAGCGCTGTGGTAGGGTGTGTGATCGCAGAGGGGGCTGGGAGACCTGCCGTCTGGTTTGCGTGTAGCTCCCCCCTCCAGCAAGCAGGGGGGGTTAAAAGCAGGACCACGGCTCCTGCCCTGCCCGCTCGTCCTCCCAGCTGCCTCTGGGCAGTGGGGCTTGTGGGGCCCTTTTGATTTCAGGGGGCAGCTGGGCAAAGGAGGAGGGGTCCTCCTGAGAAGCAAAGCACCCACACACCCCATTTCAGCCCCAGCAAGGGAAGGCTGGTGACCCGGCGGTTCCCTTGGATGCACAAGAGTGTGCAAGCATCCCTCACTGCCGGCCACCGGCTGCACGCCTTTCTGAAGAAGGTGCCAAGGACACACCCGTGTTTGGTTTAATGCGTTGAAACTTCCACACCTGTTTTGTGCTGCACTTTGCTCTGATGGGAAAGGGTTTGTGTCAGTGTGTTGCTTCAATGAGGCGCGGTCAGGAGCTCTGGGTCACAGAGAGGCTTTGCACAAAGTGGGTCAGGTGAGGGCAGCCCCCACCACCACCAAGGCAAGCCGCATCTTGGCCCTGAGGCCGACCCAGAGAGTCAAGGCAAGGAGGGGCGGTGAGTGGGGCTGTCCACCGGAGCGAAGCTCTTGCCGAACTGGTGGGCAGCTTTTTGATACCGGCCACATTTGGTTGCTGAGAGCATGAAGAAGCCGGGGCAAGGTGGGGGTGGGTGGGTGGGCGCAGTTTTCAGCTCCAGAGGACCAAATGCTGACTCAGGACTCGGCTGCATTAGTGCCCCTCCCGGGGCGGGGGGACCAAACAGTGCTTTGGAGGGGCTGCTCTGTCCTCTTTCCCCTTGAGGGAGGAGCAGGCGGTGTGGCAAAACTCTCTGGGAGGGCAGAGCCCGGAGAGGAGCCGCGCTGCCCCCTGGCACACCCTGCTGCCCTCTCGCCTGCTGCTGGGGCACAGGGGTGGGGGGGCGGGGCCCAAGACTCCACTGGGAAGGGCTGTAAAACCTGCTTTGCAAGAGCCGCTTGGAACTACTCTGGCGTAATATGAAGACACCTCGTGGGAGGGGGCCGGTGGGTTGCTTCTACAGGAGGGCAGGCAAGAAATGCGCCCCCCCCCCAGTCAGTCACCGCCTGCAGTTGTTTACAAAAATGAGTGTGTGCTGGGCAAAATGGAGCAGGGTATTCTTATTGAATAAAGCAAATTAGAAGCAGAACCGCCTGACCCTGTGGTTTTATTTCCATGAGGAGGTTTGCAGGCTGACCCCGCTTCAAAAAACATCCGTCTGGTATGGACGTTGGCCTCCTACTTCGACCTGACTCTGCTGGTCATGCTGATCAGTGTCCGTCACCTTGGGGCTAGACTATTGTGATGCACTCCACATGGGACTGCCCTGGATGACAATCCAGAAACTCCAGCAGGCACAGCCTGCTTACTGTCACAGCAGCTGCAGGCACTTCACTTGCTTTCCATCTGCCAGTGAGCTCAAGGTGCTGGTTACAACCTATCTAGCCCTTCACTGGGGGTTGGTATACATGATGGCAGGACCCCCACCCCCCGCACTAGCACAGACAGCACAGCTGGACAAAAAACTCTTCAGAGGTTTTATCCCCATCCCAGAAACAGTGGGGAGGCTACTGCAGGGGAATAAGAGGAATCCAAATTCTGTACGGGGGATGTCACTGGACCAGTTCAAAGTTTGGCATCCTGTTCCGTCACCCACCTGAGCAGTCGCTACTTACATGCCCTTCTCTTCTCACCATTTTTCAGCTGACACGGAAACTTATGTATTTTCATAAATGTGATTTTTATTGCAATCTTATTTCAAGAGAGGGGAAAAACAATCACAGGCCCTCTCAATTACTGGCACAGAGTCTCCAAGTATTAAATGACAAGTGAGTAATTGTACCATTCCAAGCAGATACTGTCTCTGTGCAATCCACTTTTGTAAGAGCGGGAGATGCACCTGAGGAGCTTTGGGCAAGTTGCTTTTTGCTCACGTTGCTAATGCCATCAAAAGCGAGTTCTTCCTCGCAGCAGCTCGATCTGCAATATATTTTAATCTACAAGTTAGCACAGGACCTTTATTATTGCATAAGTATCCTTTCCAAAGAAGGAACCGGAACTTTCTTCTGCAACCAAATGGAGATGCCGTACAACCCCTTCTGTAGCGGAAGAACTGGATCCTCGTTCCCATTCTGCTGGTCTCCACTTTGCACCAAAAACTTGTTTTGTGATTAGAGCAGGAGAAGCACTTGTGAATCTCGGCACCCTCACCAGAGCCCTGAGTGGAAGCTGGCAGCACAGAAATGCCTTTCCTTTCCACATGAAAGATCCCTTGAAAGACAAAGTTTTACTCAAGGTCTGATGAGCTTCCATGTGCAGGCACACTTCCTCAGACCACCTGCACGCGAAAGCTCAGGCCTCGAGTAAAACTTTGTTGGTCTTAAAGGTGCCTGACTGGACTCGACCGTTGACAAAAAGAGGGCTGTTGCACCACGGTGCTGTCTGAACCTCGAACGACACGCAGCTGACGCTCCTCTCAGCAACTGGATGGGTGAGACGCTTCTTTGGAGGAGTCGGGGCCTGCCCGTCTCTCGCACTGCAGTCCCACAGCAGACAGGGTGGGCTCCCCGGCACCAGGACTGATCTCAGCCACCCAGCCCTGGCTGGAGCCACGAGAGGGGAGGGGACCAGGTCAGGAGGGGGGGCTCCTCTTCCGGCTTCTTCGGCCACCGTGCTCAGGCTGGCAGGTGCCTGCGTGGAGAGACAAACGCCCAGATCCATGAGCGGCCCGTTTCCCCCTCATCACCAACTCTCCGTCCAGGGAACAGCTGGCATTTTGGCACCACCCCCAGCAGTGTGTGGGCAGTAATGGAGCCAGGCACCCTCCTGGGGCAGAGCGCCGGAGCGCCGGGCAGGATCTCTGGTATGGGCTGGAGGGTGTCCCCGGCCCCACCACGGCGCTCCTCTGGTGCTCAGGCTGTTTCATTCGCAAGGGCCTGGGGTGGGTGGGGATTCCCCGTGCAGGTGCTTTCTCGGGGGTTTGTTGTATTTTGGTATAATTATAATCTTAGAATTATAAACCACCTTGAGCCACAGGGAAAGGTGGGATACATTTTATTAAAGGAATAAAATAATCCAATTTTGGGCAAGAAAAATTCTATTGACTGGTTGCAACTGGAGTTGTAATGGGATATCTGTTGCTGGGAGGGTGTGTGGGTGTGTGAACGATACAGGGAAAGAAAAAGGAAGCGAGGACCACAAGAAGAGGGCCCCCCCGTGACCCCCCCTTACATGTCTCCAGCTGTTCCTCCAGAAAAGAGATTTGCTCGCTGAGGGAGTCCACCCTGTCCACCTGCTGCCAGACATGCAGAAGCAAGCCGAGCGCATTGCTGCTGACGCTCTCCGGCCCGGGCAGCCCCAGGCTGAGGAAAGGGGCCAAAGCCAGCTGCAGCTTCTGCGGAAAGGGAGGGAGAAGAGAGAACGCGCCACCAAGGAGAAGCCGAGAAGAGCGCAGTGGCCAACCAGGCAACACGCCTGCCTAGCTGAAGTCGGCCAAGGCCCGCCTTGTCCAGCCCACCTGTTTGCAGGGACAGTCGGACAGGTGCCTCCGGGAGCTCGCATGCAGGGCCCAAAGACAGCCGCCAGTGCACTGTTCAGCCCCAGCCAGTGTTCCCTCTAAGCTGAGTTAGTGTGAGCTAGCTCAGTTTTTTAGCCTCCGGCTCACAGATTTTTGTCTTAGCTCAGGAAGGAGGGCTTCAGAGCAAACTAAATGCAGCAGCCAAATTGCTCGCTCACAACTTTAATGGCAGGAGCTCACCAAGTAGAATTTTTGCTCACAGGACTCCACAGCTTAGAGGGAGCCTTGGCCCCAGCCCCTGCCATTCAGAGGTAAAACTTCCTCTGAGCATGGAGACTTCACTGCTATGGAACAACTTTGCTAGGCTTCTGTCTAAGCCCTTCCTAAGTGCCGCCTCCAGCTAGGAGGCATGACCACATCATGTGGCAGGGACATGCCTCACAGCCGGCCACGCAGGATGGACCACCCACCGCCCACGGCGTCGGCACTCCCTGCAGCCAGAGGGACTCACCTCCTCCAGGGCCAACACTCTGCGCCTCAGCTCCGCCACGTCTTCCTGCACGGTCAGGTTGGAGGCTCCAGCTAGGCAGAGCAATGGCAAGCAGAGAAGAATCCCATCAGTCTGGACCCCAAAAGGATACCTTCGGGGGGGTTCAAAGGGAAATGGGTCGGTTGGGGGTCAGTGATGCCCAAATGGCATCTAAAGCCACACCTTCATGGGGGAAGGGGGCGGACTAGGACGGTGCAGTCCCAAACGAGGGGCTGGCAAATGCCCCCTCCCCGCAAGGGTGTTGCTTGCCTGGGGCAGCCAGCTCAGACTCTGCCAAGTGTGTCCCCACACCCAGGAAACGGCTGTGGTTAGAGCCAGCCCTGCTTCAGGGATCCCCCAAACACAAAGAGTGGAGAGGAGGAGCGCACAGTTTCCCAGCGGGGGGGGGCGGGCTCCGTTACCTCCTCCCTCCCACCACAGCAAGCTCCCCCGTGGAGTGGCTGGGTCAGAACTCTCCATCAGTGACGAGGGAGGGGCTCTGCAGGGGTTCCCCATCATTGCTCTCCTGCGAGACGTCGAGCAGAGCAGAGCAAAAGGGATCTCCTCCTCCTCCTCCTCCTCACACCGCAGGCTCTGAAGACGACGCCCGGCCTCGCTACTCCCGCCAGCCGTGGGTGCCAGCCCTCCGCGCATTATTACTCACGGTACGAGTTTGAAGTGGCACAGCGCGTACCAAAAGTAATAATGGGCCGTGGTCGGCATAGCCTGGCGCTCCTCTTCGGGGCTGCTGGTTCCTCCCGGGAGATGAAAGTGAGAACAGGCAGCAGCTACAAGCCACCGGCCTCAGCAGGTGGTGCCCCCTGCCCGGCGCCCCGGGCTCCCTCCCTCCCTCCCTCAAAGGCGCCAGGCTGGGCTCAGGAGGGGGGAGGCCTCTCCGGAGCCAAAAGTGTGCTGGGAGCCTGGACTCTGACCGCCTCTTTCCAGCTCCAGCGGCTGACAAGACAAGCTCCGTCCCCAAGCCCAGGGACACGGCTGAACCGGGCGCCTGAGGAGGGGCTTGTGCGCTCCGCACGGGGGTAAAGCCATCCTACAGAGAGCCTATAAATACTTGGAACTGGGTGCCCCGACTGGCTACGCAAACCGAGGGCTTTGGTGGCTTCCTCCACGAAGCCCCCCCATCTCTCTCCTCTTTTCCTGCTGCCCTCCACTCTTCCTAGCATTGTTGTCTTCTCCAGGCTTTTCTGCAACACACCCCGAGCCCCCAAGTCATCTCCAGACTGATCCACTCAACTGGGGAGGGGCCATGGGTAGGGGGCAGAGTATCTGCTTTGTGTGCAGGAGGGTCCTTGGGTCCATTCCCACCCTACCATAAGCAACGCGGAAGCTTGAAGACAGGCGGACTGACTTGGGAGAAGGCAGCCCCCCGTGTGTCCCCCCAGGGCAAATCCTGCGAAGAGGGATGGCGCCTGGCTTCCGATTCACGTGGCACCAAGAACCAGAGTTCTAAAAGGTCACTCTGCTCCCCGGCTCTGCGGAATGTCCATGGGATGCTCCAAGAGGCTTTCCCTTCATCTTATGCAGCTGAAACGATGCAACTCCCTAATGAGTTATCCTGGTCAATGTCCACCTTACCCGGACTAGTGATGCCAGGGACATCGGTTGGTGCTTCCGAAGCCTGGCATGTTTTCCCATCAGCCTGGAGCTTGTGCCCTTGCTGGCAGGTGCAGCTGTAACTCCCAGCCACGTTGAGGCAGGACTGACTGCAGCCGTGTCTTCCTCCAGCACATTCATCCACGTCTGTAACGACAGGAAGACAAGAACACAGTCTGAGTCCAGCCAGGCACCTTTCAGACCAGCCTTGAATAAAACTGTGTTGGTCTCCAAGGGGCCCGACTGGACTCAGACTTGTTCTGCTGCTTCAGACCAGCACGGCTTCCCAACCGACTCTCTATCCACAGGAAGAAAAGCTGCCCACCAGGCTCTGAGGCAACCAAGGACACAAGCCTGTAAGAGCACCACTCACGCCGGACAGGAGGGCGCAAGCAGCTCCGCCTGGCCTGCCTGTTCCATCCACACCAAGTGCATGCTTGCAAGGGACTCAGGTGGCCTGTGACTCGTACAGCAGCCAGAATGCCCTCCCGCTGAAGCTGGCTGCCCTGGGGCTGCTGTGTTGTGCTTCTGGCCACCTTCCAGGCGTCCCAACTTTGGAGAGGCCAGCAAACAGCCCAGCTTGTCCTTAACCATGGAAGTCATGCCGTGGCTACCGGCACTCTTTGGTCCACTTCCTGGCTGTCGTGTTGCCGGACGGGTGCCTCCCTGGCAACAAGCAGGTGGCTGTAAGGAGCCCCCCCCCTTCCTGACTTCCCTCCGAAGACTGACCAGGCACTTTAACTCCCTCCCTCCTTCTCACACGCACACTTTTGCTCTTACAGGTTTCCTTCAAGCAGGTATGGTTCAAAGCAGCCACTACACATTTGAATGAGCAGCAGCCGGAAGTGTAGCTATTATTCACCCTTAAGAGGAACCGCAGGGAATTTTTTGGCAGCGTGTAGTGAGAAAAAGTTGGCCTACCACTGTTTTTCCTCCACAAACATCTGCTGTGATGCAGTTTCATTCAAGCCCCTCAAGGATCTTTATGCCGCAGCTACAAACAACCCAGCAAGTCAAGCTACAGACCAGAGGAATGAGCCAGCTGCCTCCTGGATTCACGATACTTCTGCCAGCCGAGGGAGAGCGGAAAGGGGGCCCAAGAACCACCCCCTGACCCACTCAAGGAACAACCCTAATTCGGCAGGTCTACTCCAAACTGTCCTCGGGGCGATTCAACTGGGCTGACCCCCAGAAGGGCGTTCTCGGAACTGTTCTTGATCCTGAGATCTCATCAGGACCTGCTCAGGCGTTTTCTAGCTCATTTCCACGGCCACCACCCGCTTGAAACTTCCACCGGAAAAAGGAAACTGACATGCTTGCAGGGCTGGATTCTGCATCACACCAGAAATGCATGAGATGGCAGAGGGGTAAAAGTGTGGTGTCTGGCTGCACGGAAGAGCTACAAGCAACACTGCCCTAATCCAGACTGGAGACGAAGGGGCGCAGAAGCCAGCCCCGACAGGTTCGTGTGTGCCCCGCCCCCAACACGACCCGTGAAATTCAGCTGGGAATCTCCACGGGAACTGCCCAGCACCATCGCAGCCCACAGTCCTGGGTGCTCAAAAGTGGGGGCCCCCACCCCACCAGACTCTGAATTACCTCCCAGTTGTCCCTGACATGACAACTGATGCCATCTAGACAGAGAACATTTAAACTCTCCACCCCAAAAGGCCAGATTCCATACCTTGAACCAAGTACACAGGTGTTCCCAGATTCAGAGTCCAGTGGGGCACCTTTAAGACCAACAAAGGTTTATTCAAGGTATGAGCTTTTGTGTGCAAAGCTCATGCCTCGAAAAAGCCTTTGTTGGCCTTAAAGGGGCCCCACCGGACTCTCAATGTGTCCTACTGCTTCAGACCAACATGGCTGCCCCCACCTGGATCTACAGACGTTCCCCATTCTTATTGCTTTGTGTCGCTTGACCGCCGCTGACTCGTCGGGCGGAGGGGCAGCTGCTGCCACCTTGGCTCCTGGGAGTCTGGCTTGGCAGCTCCTTCTCGACACAGCAGCCACAAAACCCCACCTTCCCAGCCACAAGGACTGGAAGCTTGCTTTTATTTTTAAGAACAACGAAGAAATTCACAAAGTGGGATGACCCTGTTCGGTCTCCTCCCCCCAATCACAGCCAGCAGAGAGCCCGGGACAGAGAAACCGGGCCAGCGTCAAAGGCGCTGCAGCCTTCGCACCACTTCTGCCTCACCGGGGCTCCCACGTGGAGACCGGGCGATGCAACCAAGCTACTGGGGAGCTGGCCTTCCACGAGAGGAGAGCGCCACATCCGCGTCTCCGGGGGCTCCCACAGGTGGCGTCCTGGGCAGCGAGGGCACCCTCCTTTCCCAAGATCCCGGCCCGACCCTCAAGCTCAGTTGCCACCCCCACACATGCCCAGCACATGCCAACCTCCGTCTCTTCCGGCATTCTGTCACAGAACTGAAGATGGCACATAATCTACACACTCCCCCTCCCGGCTTCGGGAAGACAGAACCTGCACAAGCAAGACTTCCATGTGATCGAGCCTGCGTGTTCCTTCATTTTCGATCACTGGGGGCTGCTGTCTTCATATAAATGCAACCACCCCTTCCCAGACCGGTACCCAACTGGCATCAAGGTATCTGGAGTGACTCCAGCCGCTGTGGGGGCCCGCAAATGTTTTCAGGCCCGGCTGCAATCGTTTGGGGGCCTCCTGCCTTCAGGAAGCAGCTGTGGCAGGGGAGGCAGGTCGAGGGCTTACCTGTCTGGCAGCACCTTCCTGTCCACCCTGCAGGGCAGGTGCAGGTGTTGGGGAGCGAGCACTTCCCTCCGTTCTGGCAAGGCGGCTGGCAGACGGCTGGAAGAGAAAGCCCGCCCATTCAAACAAAGAGCCGGAGTCACCAGCAGGGGCTGCCAGCCCTGGGGAAGGCCGAGAGGCCGGGGAGAAGCCGCGAGGAGCATCAGGTCCAGCTTCGGGGGGGAGGGGGGAACCCCGCCCTGTAGCCTGCTGGATCTCCTTGGCCCCGGCACTCTCTCCCAGCCTACCCTACCTCACAGGGTTGTTGTGAGGACAGAGAGGGGGGAACCAAGGGCACCACTCTGCATCCCCTGGGGAAAGGGCAGGGGCAAAATGATCACAAAGGAACAAGCAGGCAAGTCTTTCCCTGCAGCCAGGCAGGAAAGGCACACCCAGAAGGTCACACCCCTGAAGCACCTGGTCTTCCGAATGCCACCCCCACAGCCAACACAGAAGGCCGCCCGGCTGCCCCTCTGGCCGCCCCCCAGGCAGGGGGAGACGACGAAGCCATCCGTGCCGAGAGGGGAACGGAGCCAACGGGGCAGAGACACGCTCCAGGACCCACAGCGAGCAGGCCCTTCTCACCCCCCCCCGCCCCCCACGCAACCCTCACCCTGCCACAGGCAAGCAAAGAAGAAGGGGACGGACACGGCGGCTCCCCACCACCCAACAAGGATGCTGGACTGGACGGGGGGGGGGGGGGGCAGGGCATGCAGCTTCCCAGCATCCTTCTGGCTGCCGGCCAGGGAAGAAAAGGCCGTGCTTTTTCTGACATGTGGTGGATTTGGTTGATTTCATTTCAAAACTGTTTGCTGGCAGGAAAGAAAGAGCTCTGAAGCCCCTGGGGTTGGACGTGCTCAGCGCCCACTCCGAAGTCCCCAGCCTGAGCACTGCACCCCACCCCACCCCCCCACACAGTGGCACCTCTCCTGCTATCACCTTTTTCTTTTTTAACCAAAGAGGCCGGAGAGTCGCCAGATGCCTGGGTTACCTAGGAGAGAGAAGGGTCCTGATTCCTGAGGGAAAAGGCTGACCTGTATCGCACCCCAGCCAGGCGTGGCCACTCGCCCGTCTCCATCCGGGACAGCACCGGTGCGCCGGCTGAGACACCGTCCGATACGCCTGACGGTGGGAGACCCTGTAGGTGGTGCTAGAGAAGGAGCAGGAAACAAAGAGCCAGGCTGCAGCGCTTCGACACGGCCTTGCTCCGGAGAGGGCCCGAGGAGGAAGGCTGGGGGAGGGAACGGGGCGGCCCCCCACCCCACCCCCGAGCAAGCGGCTCCTCCAACTCCTGAAGTGAAGGAGGCTTCCCAGGACAAGAAAGAGTCAAATCGTCCACCAGTGATGTTGTGGCACAGCTGCACTCCCCGGGAAAGGCAGGCTGGCGTGGGGAACCCGTCTGCGGAACAAGCCTCCCGGAACGAGCCGCCCTACGCAGAGTCCGCCCACCGGCCCACTCAGACTGGCCGAAGCCCCCCAGTGTCTCAGGCAGAGGCCAGTTTTGCAGCTGGAACACCAGGAAGCATGAATGGCATCAAAACGCGTGGTGGGCCTGGGCCGGGGCCGCTCTGAGCTCCGGACACAGAAGCCTTGCACCAAGGGCTGCAACTTGAGGCTCCTGCCAATCAAGCCCGCTGCCACATCTCCCCTCGCGCACCATCATCAATCCGTCTTCTGCTAACCCGAGGCAACGGGGGGGGGAAGGCTGAGCAGCGACGCCCAGCACCCTGAGCCGGATGGCTTCACCCAGCACCACCACGTGCCCACCGCTCCGGCCTCTCTCGGGAGTCAGGAGAGGGAGACGCTTGCTTTGAAAAGGCAGGATTCTTGGGGAGCGGAACTATCCACCCGCAATGACCTTCTGCCTTCTTCTGGGATGCCTGGGAGAAATAGCCACATTCCCGGCTGGAGGTAACTGAATGTGCACGGAGGGAGAGAAAACTAACACCAGCAGGAGAAAATGCTGCTTTGGAGAGCGGGAATCAAGCCCTGGGTGCTGTCACAAGGGAGCCTGAACCACGACTCTTCACCTCCCACGGTCCCACCAAGGCCCTGCTCCAAGCTCTGCAATGCTACCGCTTAACACTAACACCACACTATCAGCCTGTTCTGGTGAAGGTTCTGGTGGAGGCTGCCCCCTTGCAGACTGGCTCCCCCGACTGGCACTCAAGAGGTATGAGGTTCCACTTGGCAGACATGCCTCACTCCCTAACCCATCTGTCCTCCTCCTCCGTAGATTTACCTGACCCTTCTTCTCCCTCCAAGGACAGCTGAGACCACTGCCATTCCAGAACCTGATTACAGGTTGCGAGAAGAACTTCCTTCAGTCCAGCCTGGAAGTGAGCAGCACTCAGCCTCTTACGCGAGTGCCTGGCACTGGGGGGAAGAGATGCCACAGGCCACCAGAAAGAGAACCACTCCGTACCTGTATGTACTGCAAAGCCTCTGTCCCTGGCACACGGTGAGGTAGGGCTGGTAGACGGGGTGCGCGTGCGACACCAAGAAGGACACCGTGCGGCCCTCCCCTGCTGCAGAACACACTCGCCGCCTGCAAACAAGCAGTCCCAGCATAAGAGGAGGAGCACCAGGAGACAAGCCCCACAGCAAGAGGGGCCTGACAGAGCACATGTTCAGTGGTGCAGCATGAAATCTGGCACTGGCTTTTTGAAATTAGTTGTGGGATCCTTGGGGGGGGAAATAAATGGCTGAAGGAGAGACGAAAACCTTCTTGACACCAAACGCATTAGAATTTACTGAGCAAACACCAAACTACTATTTGGAATCTGCATAATCTGCTTTTAATTTTGTCCGAATGAAAAATAATACCCATTCTCATACACAATCCAGCCAACATGAAGCATTGCTGGATTCCACCAAATCAAGCACTTTGGCAGGAATGTGCCCATCTGCTGGCTGTTTTTGGCTTACTCCGTTGTCTGGTTATAATCGTAAATGCTATAAAACTCTTCTCAAAAGCATGCATCCTAGTATTTCTACTACTGAAATATTTTATGACGATCATGCACTACCTACTCCGGCCTTCTTGACTCAAGCAGAAGGGGTGGGGATCTCAAAAGTGCAGGGGGGGGGAGCACAATCCTTGATTTGCAAAATCGAGCAGACCCTGCACCCACCCCTGGAGGTCTTCCTGTTCTATGCAAGGTCCCCGTGGAAAAACCAGGGCCATGCACAGAAGCCCCCCCCCCCCCCAGAAGCTGTGGCTCTTCATTACAACGGGCTGGCTTCGCACCAGGCGGCCCCAAGCACACAGAGACAGGCCACGACACAGACATCTCCCTGGCCCCACCTCTGAGTCTGGGAGGAGCCCCCTGGGAATTCTGCATGTGGCCGATCTGGCCCCAGGCTCACCCTGGCCGGAAGAAACGTTCCGCCTCCGTCACTGCAAGCACGAAGAGACACCCCGTGAGAAGGCTGCTGACCCTCTTCATTTCCTCTCCTCTACCGGGATCTTCCCCCACTCCAGTGCAGCATAGAGCAGAAACGGAGGCCTCGCACAGGGAGCTAGTGGAAGGGACTGTTCCACGAGCAAACCTGGAACCAGAAGAAAGAAGTGGCATGAATGGAAATGCAGCCCCCAGGGGCCGTGGGCACAGTCCAGCAGTGTGAGCGTGCATTTGAAGAAAGCAGGAGGTGCCCCACGAGGAGGAGGAGGAGGCAAAGACTGGCACTCTCACACTGTGCCTCTGGGGTGTGAAGCTTTCCTGGCCAGCGGTACGGCCTCCAGCCCAGCCCAGCCCCCACTCGAGGACCAAGCACAGCACTGAACAAACAACTGACTGTCAAATGAATCAGGCTGCTACTTGCAACAAAGGCAGCAAACGGCCCTAATTACCCCAGACCCAAGCAGGGCAACTCAATCGTTTTTTTACTCTCAAAGCTGTCCAAGAAATAAACTCCTGCCAGGGGATGCTCAGGAGGCCTGCTGTTCTCTTCGGTTTTACTTGAAACTTTACAAAGAGCCCCCAAAGGCTGCGCTTGTGTTTTAAAAGCGACAAAATGACATACACCACCTCAGGGCCTTTTTTTGTAGAAAAAGCCCAGCAGGAACTCATTGGCATAACAGGGCACACCCAACTGCAGAAACTCATTAGCATATTAGGCCACACCCCCATGCCTTCCCTTGGCTTGCCTGGGCGCCCCGCGGCTGTGGCTGTGGGGCGCCCAGGCAAGCCCCCCCCCCTTGAAGCTGGCCCTTGGAGGGAAGGGGAGGCAGTTTAAACTACCTTCCCTTAACTTGCCTGGGTGCTCCATGGCTGCAGGGAGCCTGGGCAAGCCAGCCCTTGGACAGGCTACGGATCCTGCGCGCCCCCCCCCCCATTCGCCCACCTCAGTCGATGGGGGGGGTCGCTCTCCAGGCCTTCCCTCTGTAGCCAGGCACATGCAGAGGTTCTGGCTGTAGTGGGCATGGCCAACTCTGAAGCCAGCCGGAACTCCGTTCCTGTGCGTTCCTGCCCCAAAATAGTCCTGCACCACCTGCAAAAGGACCGTAAGGAAGGCTCAGCGCTGAAGCTTTTGAATTATGGTGCTGGAGAAAACCCTTGAGAGTCCCCTGGACTGCAAGGAGATCAAATCAGCCAATCCTAAAAGAAATCAGCCCTGACTGTTCCCTGGAAGGCCAGATACTGAAGCTGAAGCTCAAAGATTCGGCCACCAAATGAGAAGGGAGCACTCACTGGAGAAGAAGACCCCGATGCTGGGAAAGACTGAAGGTCAAAGAAGACGGGGACGACAAAGGATGAGATGGTTAGACAGTGTCATCGATGCAACGAGCATGACGTTGAGCCAACTTCAGAGGACAGCGGAAGACAAGAGGGCCTGGAGGGAGCTGGTCCATGGGGTCGCGAAGAGTCGGACTCGACTGTGCGACTGAACAACCAACACCACCTGCAAAAGGCAGGTGCCAATCTGAAAACCTTCTTCTTGTGGGAATGCCAGTTTGCGTGTGCACATCACACACACACAAGTCACCCGCAAGGGTGGGAGATGGGGGTGGTGGCTGACTAGAGCCAGGGAGCCCCCACCGACCAGAAAGCATCTGGCCGAGTCACAAGCTGATGGGCTCCTGGGGCTGCCAGACAGTGGCAGGAGCCAGAAACCAGTTTTGATCAGCCAACCCGCTAGTTTTTTGGACGCCAGGAGAATAAGAGCCTGGTGCAGAGGGAGGAGCCCTCCCAAGGGCAACTCCTCCCATCCCGGCCACCTCGGGCCAGAAGCCAAGGACGCCGTCAGGAGAGTCTCCTCAACAAGAATCAGGCAAGGGAGGCCAGTCGCTGCAAGCCCCGGGGGGAAGGAGCCGTGCCGGCAGACGGTCAGAGCCCAGGTTCCTGTCCATGCAAAGGAAGCGACCCTGGGCACGTGGCCACTTGCCCCACTCCCTACCCACGAAAGGGGTGAAACCGCCACCTTAGAGAGGAGGGGTCAACCATCCCGCCAGAACTCCTGGGTTACTGTAGAGGGGCCGCCACTGAGCCAAGCGCAGCCCAACAGCCCCAGACTGGCAGCCCAGGGCCTGCACTGGGCGGGGGGGTGGGCACCAGGGGCTTGGCCACCCCCCAGCAGGGCAGGCCTCCCACCACCACCGACGGCCCTGACAGCACCGAATCATGGCTTCTCTAGAAACACACACCCACACAAGCACATCTTTCCCCTGCCAGGAAAAAAGAGAGAGGCTTCATTCAATACCCAGGAAAAAGCCCACCCTCCTCAGAAACACACACACACACACACACACACACACACGGTGAGCTTGGGGATGTTGCTGACCTCCTCAAACTGCATCTTTCTTCCCTGCTCGCTTTGCACTGATTTTGTGGGAGGGTAAAACCCCACTCCGGGCTCTCAGAACACTTTCTGTGTAGAGAGGCTCTTGGGCAGGAAGGTGGCTGGCTGGCTGGCTGGCTTCAAGAAGAGGAATGTTGGTCCAGTGACCATACAAGCCCCAAAGCCAGCCCAATCCTGCAACTGCAGCTACCGACGCAATCTCATACGCTTCCCCAAGGCCCCACTACGAAATTTGGTTTCTGGAATTTGGAAGACCCTATTAAAACCTTCCAAACTCTGCCAAGAACAGCCCCTAACTTCTTTGCACAGAGTAAATGCCAAAGTCCAGGCTGTTCTTGAGGTTTTGCTTCCCATGGGGCGTGTGCACGGCTTGCTTTGGGCCAAACAGGTTTGGCAGGCTCTCGCAGTCGTCAGGAACCTGCAGAATCCTGTTTGTCACCAGGCAAACGTGGGATGGTGCCCAGCCCACCAGCAGTGGCAGCAGCAGCGGCAGCCCCTCTTCCCAGGTGCCTCCAGCCTTGGCCTGTCTGCAGCCTCCGTGAAGGAGGAAGAAGAGCTGGCCGTCATGCCCCACCTTCGGAGAGGCTTCCAATCGCTTTCCCGTCCTCTCCCCACAAGAGGCACCTTGTGAGGCAGGTGGGGCTGAGAGAGCTCCAAAAGAACTGGGGCTGGCTCAAGGCCACCACACAGCTTCGTGCAAGGGAGGGGTGGGGAATCAAGCCCGGCTCTCCAGATTTCAGTCCGCTGCTCTTAATCCCCACACCAAACTGGCTCTCCTGTCTGGACTGCAGACAGCAAATGTCAGAGGAGGTGAATCTTCAGCGGATATCTGGAAAAAGAAGGATTCTCTGCTGCGCCTATTATGAATACCTCAAGCAGGAGGCCTGCAGGAACTTATGGGGGGCATCTAATTTTCTCTGCCCCACTATTTCCTCTCTCCCTTCCCCAAAAGCCCCCCTTCTCCTTCCCACCCATCTGCCAACCAACCTTTAGCTGCACCCATCTTGCGCTTCCCCTCCTTCCCTCCCCCTGGCAGCCCCAACCCAGAGAAACTACAGCAGGGAAACCTCAAGGACTTGTGGGGTGGCACCTCACTCCCCTGTATCCCCATCCCCACACTATTTTCGCTTTCCTTCTTCCTGGCAACCCCCGTTGTCCTCACCTTTCCCTGCTTCCTTCTCTCCTTCCCACCCAGCAAACTACATTTTACCTGTCCCCATCTTCAGCTATATTTATTATTTATTTACTTCATTTATATCCTGTTTTTCTCCCCAAGGCAGCCTAAATGTTCCTCCGTCCTCCGTTTTATCCTCACAACCACCCAGTGAGGCGGGTGAGTCCGGGAGGGAGTGATTGGCTCAAGGCCACCCAATGAGCTTCCACGGCAGAAGGGAGCCGTGACCTGGGTTGCTCAGACCCCAATCTGAAACTCTAAACCAAGGGGTGTCAAACACAAGGGCCGGGGGCCAGTTCCAGCCCAATCTGGGGCTCTTAGCCGGCCTGCGAGCAACTGGTGTGCGGGAGGGAAGGCGGGAGGCTGCTTGGGGGTGTGAGCAGGCACACGAGGGGAGGTCTCTCTGTGTATGTGTGGTCAAAGCTGTCAAGAAATAGAAAGGAAGTGGCTAAGGAGTGGGGCTAAGAGGCTAAGTTAGAATAGTGGGGGGAGAATGGAAGCAAAGGCAGAGAAAGGGGTGGTGGTTCCCCCCCTCCCACCTCCTCTGGCTGCAGCTCAGGGAGGACTGGAGAAGCCACTACGTGGGGGGGGG